GTTTTGGACACCCGAGTGCAGAGAGGAGCGGAGCTGTCAACTGATCACCACCTGGTGGTGAGTTGGATCAGATGGCAGGAGAAGATGCCGCGTAAACCTGGCAGACCCAAACGCATAGTGAGGTTCTGCTGGGAGCGCCTGGCAGAAGAACCTGTCAAGACAGTCTTCAACTCCCACCTCCAGCAGAGCTTTGACTGGGTCCCGAGAGCAGTGGGGGACATTGACTCCCAGTGGGCCTTGTTCCACTCTGCAAATGTTGAGTTGGCTGTTGTTAGCTGTGGTCGCAAGGTGGCCGGTGCCAGTCGTGGTGGCAACCCCCGTACCCGCTGGTGAACACCAGAGGTTCAGGGAGCCATCAGGCTGAAGAAGGAGGCCTGCAGGGCGTGGCTGGTCTGTGGGTCTCCGGAGGCAGCAGACAGGTATCGGATAGCCAAGCGGGGTGCAGCAGTGGCAGTTGCCGAGGCAAAATCTCGGGCACGGGAGGAGTTTGGTGAGGCCATGGAGAAAGACTATCGATCGGCTCCAAAGAGGTTCTGGCAAACTGTCCGGCGCCTCAGGAGAGGAAGGTAGCAATTCGCTCACACTGTTTACAGTGGGGATGGGGAGCTGCTGACATCAACTGGGGCTACAGTCGGACGGTGGAAGGAATACTTTGAGGAGCTCCTCAATCCCACCTACGCACATTCCGAGGAGGAACCAGAGCCGCGAGACCTGGGGATGGACTGGCCAATCTCGGGGGCAGAAGTTGCTGAGGTAGTCTAACAACTACACAGCGGCGGTGCCCCGGGGGCAGATGAGATTCGTCCTGGGTATCTCAAGGCTATGGATGTTGTAGGGCTGTCATGGTTGCAACATTGCGTGGTCATCGGGGGCTGTTCCTGTGGAGTGGCAGACAGGGGTGGTGGTCCCCATCTTTAAGAAGGGTGACCTGAGTGTGTGTTCCAACTATAGGGGATCACACTCCTCAGCCCCCTGGAAAGGTCTACTCCAAGGTACTGGAGAGGAGGCTCTGAGTTGAATCTCAGATTGAGGAGGAGCAATGTGGTTTTCGTCCTGGCCGTGGAAGTGTGGACCAGCTCTATACCCTTGCAAGTGTGATGGAGGGGGCATGGGAGTTTGCCCAACCAATCTACATGTGCTTTGTGGATTTGGAGAAGGCTTATGACCGTGTCCCCAGGGGCACCCTGTGGGGGACGCTCCAGGAGTATGGGGTGGGTGGCTTTCTGTTAAGGGCCATTCAGTCCCTTTACCAGAGGAGCGTGAGTTTGGTCCGCATAGCCGGTAGTAAGTCGGACCTGTTCCCAGTGAGGGTTGGACTTCGCCAGGGCTGCCCTTTGTCACCGGTTCTGTTCATCACTTTTATGGACAGAATTTCTAGACGCAGCCGTGGTGTGGAGTGTGTCGAGTTTGGTGGCAGGAGAATCTAATCTATGCTTTTTGCGGATGATGTGGTCCTTCCAGCTTCATCCAACTCTGACCTTCAGCTCTTGCTGGGTAGGTTTGTGGCAGAGTGTGAAGCGGCTGTGATGAAGATCAGCACCTCCAAATCTGAGACCATGGTTCTCGAACGGAAAAGGGTGGCTTACCAATTCCGGGTCGGGAGAGACGTCCTACCTCAAGTGGAGGAGTTTAAGTATCTCGGGGTCTTGTTCATGTGTGAGTGTAGGAGGGATCTGGAGATCGACAGGTGGATTGGTTCAGCGTCTGCAGCGATGCGGACCCTGAAAAGGAGCCAGTTGAGGTGGTCTGGGCATCTGGTCAGGATGCCTCCTGGACGCCTCCCTGGGGAGGTGTTTCGGGCATGTCCTGCTGGCAGGAGGCCCCCGGGTCGACCCAGGACACGTTGGAGAGGTTACATCTCCAATCTGGTCCGGGAACGCCTTGGGGTCCTGCCGGAGGAGCTGGTGGAGGTGGCCGGGGAGAGGACGGTCTGGCGCTCCCTAGTTGGGATGCTGCCCCCGCGACCCGGACCCGGATAAGCTGAGGAAGACGACGACTATGATTTGAACATCCTTGAAGAAATAGAGAGAATGATTGAAGGCCTTTCACATCCTCACTTTTAATTAGTGGCCAACTGATAACCTTCTCCCTGTATGCAGAGGTGATTTTCCTTTCATTTCCAAAATATTCTTCAAGAAGATATTTAGCTCTGGAATAGCCTTGTTCAGGAGGCACATGCTGACAGCTGTGAACCAAGTCTTTAGACTGCTCCCTAGTGAACTGCTCTAGGAAGTGCAAGCAGTCGCTCCAGCTGTCAGTTTTAGCTTCCACTCCGTTTTCAAAGGCGTTCATAAATGATCTGTACTGTAACGGGTCTCCATCAAACACAGGGATATGTCTGGCGGGGAGGACAGAAGAGAAATTTAGCTTCACAAGTAAGGCAGTGATGTCATTTTGCTTCTGCATTATGTTCACAATATCTTTCTGAGTCTTCTGCCAAAGGTGAACATTGATGCAAAGTTTGCTGCGTTGCTTGAGCATCAACCTTTTTCATTTTTACTTCCACAGGAGGCTGAGGTCTTTCTTTGGGCTGGACAATCTGTGGTTCAGGAGCAGGATTTATAACAGAATGATCTTGTTCTTTTGGAGCAAACGTGTCTGCATTAGGATTTAGCTGAGTCGGCTTCTGTACGTGGCCTCCTTCAAAATAAGAGTTCATTCCTTCCGATTGTTTTGAACCGCAAACTGAGTTTATTTCCAAAATGTGAAACTTGGTTGCTGCCAACTCCGTTTCCAAAGCTAATTTCTCCTTTTCCTTTCTCAGTCTTTCCTTTTGATCTTCAATCAAATGTTTTTTCGTCAACGCAGCTGCTCGCTCTTTGAGCGCTGCCTGATCAGCTGCAGTCTTGATGCGTGCAGAAGACATTGATGATATTCGGGATTGAGAAGAGCCTTTTGATCGAAGTTTTACACATGAAATATTGGAGACACTGTCTTCAGGGTTTATTTCATCCGGACTTTCAGCAACTTGATCGTCAGAAACATCTGTTTTGTTCTGTGAAGGGATTGCCTGCTTCCTGCAACCAAACCTTTACTTTGTCCATAAATTCAGAGAACGCTTTCACCTTGGGTTTGAAGTACACAGCTCGTCTTTTCAGTTCCTCCTCTGGCAATGGCAAACTTAAAAATGAGTCATGCACATCTGCTGAGTCTTGACAGCATTTAATAAATTTGGCAAAATCAGAAGAAACTTCATCAGCATTTTCATGTGACGTCATTAAAGTGGATATTTTCTCCCTGTACTTTGAGCTTTGTTTACACATTGAACTCCGTTTTTCTTGGCATGTTTTAATGTAAAGCCCCAAACCCTTTGGTGTGAATTTAATGTTTCTTTTCTCTTTCAGCATTTGAGTGTCATCCTCTTGTTTACTTTTGACATCAGACATTTTAGCAGTTTTATTAACTAGTTCTGTCGCTTAAAACTGCACAGAACTCAGAGAATCCTTAGCATAAAGCACAGACGCTTTTCTTTGTTTACGATTGTAGACTGCAGCAAGCAAACATTTCCACAATGGGCGTTGTCACCTTTCAATCATCCAATCATGCATCAGCTTGGCACATCATCAGTCTTTGTTTGTAGTGAAATATTGTCTTTAATCATCTTTTACCGTTTTCCTTTACGGTTTAAACAACATTTTCACTCACCAGCTTTGATGAGTCAGTGAGATGATGACCCGGGCCTGAAGCAGGAAGTCTAATTGAATTCCTCAAAAAGGATCAGATCCAACCTGTTGTTTGATGACGATCCTCAAGATCCACCTTTGCAACCTGCCCATCAGGGAGGGAACATTCCTTCTGTTCCACAGGCTAAGTGTTTTACTTTATGTAGTGGCGGTTCCTTTGTTTGTCAACTCACTTCATATTTTCCAACTTTAAAAGCCGCTGCTGCACTGTAGTAACGTTTCGTACGCAGGCAGAAGAAGTTCAATGTCCAAACTTGAAAGCTGCGTTTTCTTCAAGGTTTATTTTCCAGGTTGGCAAGCAATAAAACACACATCCTGTTTTCCATTGTTTCCTGCTGCTTCTCCATACGCCCACCCCAGTGCATGCTGGTCCTTTATCAGTGCCTACTCAAAATGACCCGGTGATTTTTCCTGACTGACTTACAAAGGTAAACAATAAAACGAACAACAAAAATAAACAAATAATCTAAAAATAAACTTTATAAATGCTTCAAAAATATAAAGTGAACTAATCACAAATTTAAAGAAAATTCACAAAAATAACACAAATAAAGTATAAATAGCTCCAACAAAAACAGTTAAAATATAACTTAGATTTACGTTTAAATCAAGCTTGTTTGTAATTTAGTTTCATCGGAGAACATTCCAGAAGCGGTCCAGCGGCGCACGGTGCAAAGGTTTATGGGAGGTGGAGTGAAAACAGTCAGGAAGTTCCCCTTAGAACTGAAACAAGAACCCTAAAAAAACACTAAAGCAATAGAAATTATAATAAAGCATAACAGTTCAAAGCCTAAAATTTTTCTTTCACATTTCAAATAAACGTTTTCCCCCCTCCCAAAAGTCAGATTTTTAGTTTGGAAGATAAAGATCATAAAACAAACATGGAGCTCTAAGTGGGGAGAAAAAAAAAGTAAAACCAGCATGAGAGCAGATTTCTTCACACTGCGTTTATTAGTGTGTTTGTAATGAAATAAGTTTAACAGCAACAAAATTTTGATTAAAATGAGAGGAAATCGCAGGACCATCAAACAAGCTTCAACCCAAAATAAACTTAACTAATTTAATCTCATCTGAACGTTTTAGCTCACAACCTTGTTTTTATTTATTCACTAAATTCAAAGTTATAAACGTCTTTGGTATGTTCTTTCTGTGTTTGGCTTCTAATTCCATTTTTGGTTCTTTTTTAAAACACAGGAAAGGTTTCTCTTTACCTTGCCGACAGTTTCATTTGCCGACTGCCTGTGCAAAGAGAAACCTTTCCTGTGAATCAGTTATGAAGCATTATAGGTCACTTAACAGGAATGACTCACAAACACATAATTTACCTGGAAACAAGTTTATTAAATGAGAGCAAAACAAGCCTGACTTTTTATTGAACTTGTGAGTCTACCACAGGTGAACAGGCGATTGTACATACAAGGTCCAACAGAGAATAAATACTGAGACATGCAGCAGGAGTGGCTTTAGGCTTATTTACAGCATCTCTTCATTCACCTGCAGAATCAGGTGTGCTAGTGTTAGTACGGGCCAGAAATAGACAGAACCAGCTAAACCCAGAAACACTCCCATCTGGGAAATGAGTGCTTCTGCAGAATTCTGCTGGTTCTGGAGGACCACAGTTCCCCCAGAACATTTATCCGTCTGACTGGTGGGTTCTAGGAGCAACCATCAGGTCCTGTGATCAGACTGGTCCCACTGAATCGGGTCAGTCCAGAACAAATACCCGATCAGACCCAAAGCAGCCAGCTGCTCTTTGTTTACCTTTTTATTAAAAAAACAAATCAACACAGGAGCACCAGATGGGTGGAGTTTAGCACCAACCAATCAGAGGATCCTAAAGTTCTGGTTTCCATCAGTGTGTGTGTGTGTGTGTGTGTGTGTGTGTGTTAGTATCACAATACGCAGCAGTAACATCTGGTTATTCTAGTAGCACTTTAAGAACAAAGACACTTCTGTACAGAACCAGTACATTCCAGTGGTTCTACTGGAGACCTGGACCGGGTCTCCCAGGTTATTGCTAAAGTCCAGAACCCAAGCTCCGGGAGCTTTCATCAGCTGATTCTTTCACATTTCAGAGGTCAAACTACAACAAGAGCCGTCAGCGTAGAATCAGCTGATGGATCACTACGACATCAGGAATGGAACGCATCCCAGGGACTATAATCTGACAGCAGATAATAGGGAACCGCACCCGAGGTAAGGTGTGCATAGATTAAAACTAACAGCTGTGTCACACTTATCAGGTTATGATTTCAAAGATGGAGGGACTGAATCACACTGAATAAACTCAACTTTTATCATAAATACTCAGGAAAAAACTTGTTGCTAATAAAACTTAGCATGAACATGAGTTTGGAACATTCAAATATAATAAAGAAAAGCATTAAAGGTAAACATCTGTTATGGTTCAACTACAATCACAACAAAAGTAAAGAATTCATTACAACAACCCATGTCACCAGCTGAGTGTACACAGGCTCCGCCCACTATGAGCAGACTGATCTGATTGGTTAAACCCGGTGGGGCTCATTAGGCTCTGCCTACAGTCTGCATCAGCTTTCATTTGATTCAAATTTCAGGAGGAAATCAAGAATCACCAGAAAACTATTTATTTGACTTTTTCTGGTGAATCAAACAGAAACGTTGAAGATTTCTGCGTTTAAAACCTTTTCAGTACATTTCTAGTTATTTAGTGTAAAACTGAATACATTTCACTTTAAACTTCGGTCTGGTTCATCTTATACTTTAATTTTGTATGAAACCGTAACAGTTACAACAGCTGATGAGGTCAAAGGTTAAACCGTTGGGGTTCGGATTAGGAATAAACCCTGACCATGATCTGTCTCAGGAAGTGGAACCAACGCACGGGTTCTAGTGACTGACAAGTGTCTGAAAGCCTTCACCAGGTCAGAACTCTGGTTCTACAGGCGGTTCTGGTTCTACTGGTCATGTTTTTCATTTAGAACCTCGGTGCGGCTGCTTCTAAAACCATTCGACTTAAAACTGGACCTGGTCTGGGTCGGTCCTGTTCAGAGGCAGATGTTCTGGAGAACTTTTACATTCATGGTTCTGGGAGTTGAAGGAACTGGACCTACTAACAGGAAGTTGCTTCCTTGTCTCTCCTCCAGAACCAGCTCTGATCCAGGAGCCAGCAGGACCTTTGGTCAGATACTAAAAACCGTTTCTACTTCTGTTTCCATCAGACAAGACGGAGGTCTTAAGGATCTAACGAAGGTCCCGGGAGAGACAGGAGGATGGTGGGTGGAGAGATGATTCTACAGACTCAGTAGGAGGAGATGTCAGAGGAGCTGCTGCTGTTGCTGGTGGAGGTCTGAGCCCTCTTGATGTAAAGGTTCAGGAGCTTCATCTGCAGCGGAAACATCCAAAATGAACTAAAACTCGAGCTCCACCTTTCCCGACAGGAAGTGAACTCACCTTGCTGCCAGTCAGCTGGGACAGGTAAGGCTTCAGCTCCTCTCCAATCACAGAGTAGATGGAGACCAGGCAGAAGACGCTGGCCTTCCTCACGCTGCTCTCCGTGTTGTCATAGCCCTGCAGCAGAAGAACCAGACCATCAGAAACACAAAGAAGCAATTAAACCATCTCCAGAAAGGGGTGGAGCCTCACCTGCAGAAGCCCAGGTATGACGTCCGGCAGCAGCTGGTGCAATGGCTCCTTGGTGATGCGTTCAATGGCCCTGGTCTGCATCTTGATGGCAGCCAGGTTGATGGGGTAGTCGGTGGTCTGGACGATGGGACACAGGACCTTGATGCACTGCTCAGGGTGGGTGGAGCTTGCCAGCATGGACGCCGCCTCCTCTGCTGCTCGCACCACCTGAAACAGGCGCAGCAGCAGCAGCAGAAGAAGAATGGATGAGCACGGTGAGAGTGAAGGACCCTCAGAACCTGGACAAGCCTGCATCACCTCTTTGTGGGAGTCCTTATGAGCCTCCAGTGTCTTCATGATGGTCAGCTCAGCGTAGTTCTTAAACCGGCCCGGCTGGTTCCGCAGGATCTCCTTCAGGACTCGTAGGGCCAGAGCTCGGATCGAGTGCTGAGTCAGACCAAACCAGACTAGTCAGAACCAGAACCTCTCACAGCAAAAGTCACATTTAGAGACAGAAAGCGCCTCACGTCCTGGTCTCCTAGGGTCTCCAGCAGCAGAAGCAGCATGGTCTTAAAGTGTTCCTCCCACACCACCAGGCTGTCCTCTCGGGCCACCTTCAGCAGCTCCAGCAGCGTCCCCCGGCGCTCCTCAGGGCTTCGGTCTCCAGTCTGGGCTTGGGACAGCTCCTTCAGGAGGTCTCCAACCAGCTCCAGCTGCTCTGCATGACCGGCTGCCCCAACAGAAAGGGATTATGGGTAAAACCCTGAAATCTGGATCTGAGTCCCACACTGGTCCAGTTAGACTGGCCCAGTTTAACAGGACCAGTCTAAGTGGATCGGCTAAGCTTTGATTTACCAGGGAAGCTTTTGGGGTTCAGGATCTTGTTTTCGACACACTCCTGCCTCCGACCTGCAGACACAGACCGAGTATAAGAGGGAATCAGACGTTTTGACGGGTCAGAACCGAACCGAATCTTACCGTCTCCGAGCTGCTCGGCGGCGTCCTCGAGCAGGGCGGCTCGGTCTGTCGACCCGTCTGTGTAGTTGTACGGGTTGTACTCTCTGAAGCGTTGTCCGGAGAACGATCGAGGTGACGGAGTGTTCAGCAGAGACGTCTTGTTGTCCAGAGCCGTCCGACCACTCTCCGTCACGTCCCCACAGAACCGAGGACTGGACTCTGAGACTGGCACCATGCTGACCTGAGAGGACACCGCCACAGACGGGTCAGGTTAGAGGTCCAGATGGACCAAAGCAGCTGACACAGGTTCCTATTCATCGTTTGGGAAATCGGAAACTACTTTTATCCGATAACAAACCGGGTCACGAGTCCAGAACATTTGTGTACAGAACTAACGGACCCCCTGGATGCTCACCGAGCCGTCCCGCTTGAGCAGCTCCATCTGGTCACCGTGGCCACGGAAGCTGAAGTTCTGGATGCCCTCAGTGACTCCGCAGAGTGAGCCAAAGATCTCCTCAGAGTTCACGTTCTCGCTGTCAAACTCCAACCCGCTGCAGCACATCAGTACCAAGAAGAACCAGAGCAGAACATTCAGATGGGAGACGGACAGAACCCGCCTGGTTTGAGTGAATCTGACCCTGAACTTTGACCTGAAGCAAGTGGAACAAACACGGTTATGGTTTTTGTGTTGAACAACAACTTCCTGTTTCCTGATTAAACTAAAAACATTCAGCTCTGATTGGTTGTCTCCTGGAAACAGGAAGTAGCGTTGGACCTGGGACAAGGAGTGACTCTGGATGGACATGCACACTGATGAAAAGACAGGTTGGAGACAGACAGGGACAGATTCTTGGGAACTTTTCAAAAATAAAACACAGAACATAAAACGATGGAGGCTGTGGAACCCCGTCGGGGAGGGGGTGGGGGTGGAGGTGAGGAAGGGCGGGGTTACCTGGGGGAGGAAGCTCGCCGTGAGGCCTTGAGGGAGGCAGCAAGAGGGGTAGGAAGAGGGGAGGAGAAGGGAGGAAGAGGAGGGTATTTAGAGTGCTCAGCGCTCCAAGTCCACAGGCGACTGGGAGGAGCAGGGGAGGAGAAAGAGGAGGAGTAGAGAGGTATCAGGAGCAGCTGATCTCAGGTCAGTTAAAGAGAAGATCATCAGACACCTGAGGTACATTTAGAGACTAGATCTGAACCTGGTTCTGTCAGAACCTCTGATTCTACAGCAGGAACCCAGCAGAACACGTCTGCTCTAAACCTCCTTCAACGAGCCGCAGTCCTGGGGGAGAGCATACCTAGGGGAGAGGCCACCGTGGGCGGGGCTAGTGGGTGAGGTCAGAGGGCTGCTGCGGCTGATGGGATGGCGTGGAGCGGTCCGACCCGAGGTCCCTGGAGACGCCTGAAAGAGAAGAAACACGACAGGTTAGAATGACCTGGTTTTGACAAAGGTTGTGTGTGTGTGTGTGTGTGTGTGTGTGTGTGTGTGTGTGTGTGTGTGTGTGTGTGAGTGAGTGAGTGAGTGAGTGAGTGAGTGAGTGAGTGAGACCGTGCTGATGGCGGCGCTGGCGTTCCTCAGGTGGTTGTGCAGCAGCCTGGTGGTCCCATCCTGAAAGGTTTTGGGCAGCGCCCCAAGCAGCATGGTGAACTCTGGAGTGTTGAGCTCGAAGAGCGCGATCAGAACCACCTGGGCCGCCTGGACACACAGAACCACACACACACTGAATCTGAGGTGTGTGCGGTGCCTGAAAACCTCCTGAGAGTTCATTTGTTTCCTTCAGCAGGACTTCAGAAACATTAAAAAGACAAACTGAAAACAAGCAAGTTCAGCTGGACAGAGTAAAACACGGAGAAAGCAGGAAACGCCATCGGTTCCACCAGAGAACACAAACGGAACAGAACCGGACCGGTTTGATGTTCGGATCCCAGAAGAATGAAATAAATAACAGAAGGTTTGAAGAACAAGGATGTGATAAACAAAAGAACCCAACAGGACCTGAGCAGGAGGTTAAAACCTCAGTTCTACAGAACAAAGTGATTACTGAGGTGATGAAGAGAAGATCTGATTAAAAAGTGGATTTATTTTAAATACCAGCCAGGCTGATTTACTACGAGCGTCACCCAGAGCGCGGGCGCTGCTGCAGGCTAACAACGCCCCGCGGTGGCGACCGAAGCAGGGTGAAGTTTGAGGTTGCTTCAGGAACAAACATGTTCACTTGATGGATTTGTGGTTTATAGAGCTGCTGTGACTGACAGCCCTGAAGGTAACACATGATTCATTTATAAAACAAGGGTTATTTAGGGGTGTTATTTTACAGAAATATTTTTTCATTTATTAGAAGCTGAATTTAAGAATAGATATTCATTAGGAGCTGTGCTGGTTCCACGGGAGCTGATTCACATGCGGTCAGAACTTCGACTGCAGGAGGTTCATGCAGAAGCTGCTGGCGGGTTAAAGGTTAGTCACTTCAGGTTGCTGGACCCAGCGGATGGGGATTGGGGGGGGGCGGAGTCTACCTGCTTACACCTCTCCTCCAGGTTTCCCTCCCCAGGAAGAGAGGCCACCGTGCCGCTGCGACCTGACAAATCCTCCCCCACCCAGTTCTGCAGGGTCTGGGTTTCAGATGACATCATCAGGAAACAGTATCACAACATAAACGAGAACCAGTAACGCTAGACGGTGGGCGGGTCTAGACCTTCACATGGACCCACCTTACGGACGTCAGAGCTCTTGGGCTCAGTGGTCCAGGTGATGATGCGTGAGACGGCGAGTCGAGTCTCGCTGGAGTTGACAAAGTCGGCTGGGTCCATCTGTCGGGCCAGAGCCTCGATGTAGCGCAAGATGGCCACCTTCACCTTCAGGTTGGGGGTCTGGGTCTGGTCCACAATGAACCGCATCAGGATGTTGAACTGCAGCTCGTAGGGAAACGAGTCTCTGAGGGGACAGAAAAACCCTCAGACCAGACCAGCTTCAGTCCCCCATAGGACACCCTCTAGAGGACAAAAACCTTTCAGGGGAAAGAAACTAACCCCTCTGGTGACTCTGGTCCCTCAGTGGAAGTGATGGATCATTAATGGTATATAGAGTATATTGATGGTTTCATGATTGTCTAGACTAGACTAAAGTAAAACATAGACAGTACTAGATACTAGATGTTTCTCTAACAGCCTTGCACCAATCCCAGCGGACGTTCTGTGAACAGGACCACCACCTGAGGACCTGAAACTGACCTGGTGACATCCAGGGCTTTCTGAACTTTGGCCTGGACTGACCCCAGCAGGTCGGCCCCCATCTTCTTCAGCAGCTGTGTGAGCAGGACAAAGAGCCAGTCCTGCAGGTCATCTCGATGTAGGACGATGAAGTCCACCAGAGTCTCCAGGAACATACTGAAGACCTGAAACAGACACGTGATGAAGAGGAGGGTTAGGACCGTGCTTGTGGACCAGCTCTGGAGTCAGGAGTTAGAGGAGGATGAAGACTTACTCTCTGGTGTTTGTTAAGAGTCCGCAGCGGAAAGAAAGCATGCAACAAAAACACGCTGTTAGTTTGACCTTTGACCTGTTGTGGGTCTACTGTGCCTGTTAGACTGCTACGTTCTGACCCAAACGCTGTTTGACCCTGAAGCTCAGGGGGTTCTCACCTTGCTGTGAGGATCTGCAAACATCCTAGTGAAGATCTCACAGAGCCTCTTCAGCTCCACGCGGCTGAAGCACAAACAGCAACACTCAGTGTTTCACAACGACACCTCAGGTGTGGACACCTGGTCCAGACAACCTGACTTACCTGAGTGTCCTCTGGCCCTTCAGCAGGTTCTGCAGCCCCAGCAGCCCCTCCTTCCTCTCGGACCAGTTGGCACTGGCACAGTGGTTTAGAACCTCAGCCACATCCTCCGTCTGACGCAGGAACGCCACGCCGCCATTCCGCGAGCTGAAAGAGCGGTCTGAGCAGGCGCTGGAGGCATCGCTGTTCGCGTCATCGTCTGAGTACATACCGGGGGGCTCGAAACGGCGCCTTGCTGGGCGTCGCTGGGAGAGAGGAGAGACACGGTGGAGTTTTGAGGGGATCAGAGAGAAGAGAATGGGGTTTAAAGTAGGTGGCATGGGTCAGGGCGGGGTTAAATGGAGGATAGAGAAGAGGGCGGAGCTTAGAGGGCTTCTAGCACATGGAGAATGAAATCTCTGTGAGGAAGCAGACATGCGGAACTCTGATAATGAAAGCTACTCGATATCAGCGTGCTGGTTTCTTTAACTTTAACCTGGTTAAGCACTTTAATCACAGAGATGAGACAAAAACAAACCGCCACAGTCAAAGTTTAAGGCTGGTGTTCTGCATGCAGTCAGAACGGTTCCACTACCTTAGTCCTGGATTCTCCTAAGAGCTGAAAGTTCCACCAGACAGAAGAAAACTGACATCAGCATCGTTTAGATTCTGAACTCAGCTTGTTCTTCTCCTGATCATAAAGGAGTCTGTTCTCACCAGAGCGTCGGCCACCGCCGCCTCCACATCGGTGCCGGTGTTGAGGATCTTCATGGCGTTAACGGAAGCGGAGATCCGAGCCTGGTGGGTCAGCCGGTCTGAGGAGGAGGAGGAGCTATCATCAGAATGACAGAGTGTAACCCAGCTGTGACTGGTTCTGATCCGGTTCCTCTGAACTCTGGCACATGGGCCCATTCAGTCTGATGAGATGATAATTCTGGTTGAACTCTGGTCTAAAATCTAAAACCTGGTTTTTAACCCGAGCACACGCGAAGCAAAAAGCAGAACCTCAACAGAGAAAAAGCAGCAGAAACGAATAAGAAACCAGAAAAAACAAGTTAGAGAAGCAAAGTTGCTTAAAGAGCAGCAGAGCAGCTCATAAAATCTAAAACAAGATGAAAAAAAAAGACTTTTAATCATCTCAGTTCCTGAAGGTTTTGGTTCTGTTCTGATAAAATGGTTTGGACCAGGAAGGTTCTGTAAGTGCCCCCTGCTGGTGAGTGAGGAGAGAACCATCCATCAGAATAAAAAGCAAAATGATGGAATTAGTCAGCATCACGCCGTCTCAGAGACACTCGGCTGAAAACCTACTCGTGTGTGACAGAAAACAGAATGGAGGACAGGTTTTACACGATGCATCAACCTAACCCCCCCCCCCCCCCCCCCATCCTGACTCTGATAAGAGGCAGCACCCCTGGATCACCACTGACAAAACTCAAGAGAAGATTCTGCTCAGATCAAAAGTAGAAGCTCATCTGATCCGCCACGCTGAACTCAGGAACATCAGAGGATTGGTCTGCAGTAGAGGCTGACTAACAGAGCAGACGAGTGGATGAAACAGAAAGCTTTAGGTGTTTTCCACCACAGGAGCCCTCTGTAGAGGACAGGGCGATGGCGGATCATGACTGAGGACGGCTGGCTGCACGACGACAGATAAACCACAGCAGGTTCTCCTGGTTTAGAACATTCCAAAACTCTGACTCAGTCTAAAAGCTCCTGACAGAAGTTGGATTGGATCATTGTCAAGACAGAATCTGGACACAGACGAGGCAAAGAGGGTAATGTTCTGCTCTGACAGAGGGGAGGTCTGGAAGTTTTGGTGTGTACTCACCCAGGGGGGAGAAACCCCTGGCAGGACTGGTGTCACGGCTGCTCTCGCGACTGGCTTCACGGCTGCAGCCTTGACTCATGCTGGGACGAGGGATTCTGCTCCGGGCTGCATGGCCGGGCGAGACAGACAGGAGAACCGCAGGGCATGCAGTGAGTTTAGGGGGTGTTAGTAAAGTGAAGAGGAGGAGGAAGAGAAGAGAATGCAGGACACTAACACACCCAGTTTGTCCTTAGATCTAACCGTATTTCATCAGAAGTATTTTTGCTATTTGACAATTTAATGAATCATTAAATGAAAAACGAGGCTATAAGTGAATATTTCTAGAGGTGGAGTTCCCCAGGGCTCCATCCTGGGCCCAGGTTGTTTTTATTAGTGATGCACTGATATGAAATTTTTGGGCCGATACCGATATTAAGATCTGTTATGATCGATAACCGATATTAGCCGATACCGACATATTGACATTATTGCTTCTAAAATCAGCAGATTTTGTATAGAATGAAAATTATTAGAGCTGAATTTATGTTACTATGTACACACAAAACACACATTTACGGTTCTGAGATGATTTCATTCACTGTTCACATGACTGAGTGAAAGAGGCAAACAAATGGAGATGAGATGGAAAAAATATCGGTTGTTCATATCGGCCCAGTTTTATTTATCGAACCGATACCGATATGTTAAAAAATGCCAAACATCGGCTGATACTGATATGTTGTGCATCCCTAGTTTTTATAGATAGCTTTTAGCCTGTTGGTAAAAGACATCCTGTTTCCTCTCTTTGCAGATGAAACTCCGATACACCGGATAATTTGGAGCTTTGCTGATCCATCTACATCTTTATTTGGAGCTTTGACCAAAAACTGATCCAGAAACAATTCTGGTTCTTACCCAGGCCTGACTTACTGGGGCTTGTCTCTCTGCTGCAGCCCTGACTGCGGTGACCTCGAGATTGGTTCTTCTCTCTGGAGGTTGCCCCGGCACCACCTGTGCTTGGCCTCGGGACTCTGCCATAGGTGGAGCTGAGTAGACGACCTGGAGAACCAGACCGACTGCCAGCTGAAACATCAGGAAATTTTTTAGGTGACTTATTAAGTCTGAGATCACATGACTGGAGGAAAAGTTTTGGGTTCATCGAATAAAACTCACGCTGAGACTGGGACACAACTTTTCCTCCACTCCGACCGTCAGTCACCAGAGGAGTGTTTCCCGAGCTCGGCCTCCGGGTTCGAACTCGACCTAAGAACAGAAACCCGTTAAAGTTGAACTGCAAGAGCAACAGTAAATTGGACTTAAATGGAACAGGACTACAGTTGGATCCATGAGGGTTCTGATCTGAGATATGATCACATGACCACATGCAGCTGAGACAACCTGTTCCGCACTAACCACAAACTTTTCACTCAAACTGATGTAGAATTAGCGTCTGACCAATGTAGAGTCGCATGACCCATGTGGGCGGGGTCAGACGCAGCGCTAACGTTTTAGCTTGCAGCCTCTCTGATCCGCAACATTCAGCAGTTTAGACACCTGGTCCAGAATCAGTTTCATGTTTCCCACAGAACCCAAAACAGACTGATAACGGGCTTTACCAACAGCTGGTTTCCAGATGTGGGAGATAACACTAAACCATGCAGACTGTCCATGCAGACAGACACACACATGACCACACACATCTTACCATCTGTATTAACAGACCACGAGCCTTCTGAGAGGTGGGCGGGGCCAGAGGAGACAACAGGATGTAAAGTTTCAGTTTTGTTTCAGGAAGCAGCTGATCTGGTATGAACTCTACAGTCATGTGACCTGCGTTAGCGTGTCGATCACTTCACTGACTGGGTCATTTAACTGGGTCATTTAATCACAGCAAACATGACTGGAGAACATCTTCAGAAAGTATAAGAGGAGAACCAGCTTCCTCTGAGAAGATGTGAATCTTAAAGAGAAATAAAAAGCTACAAGAAGTCCCCCTAAATTTAATGAGAGCTTTGGTTTTGAAATCTATGTTGGATCAAATATTCTCAGCCAAACAGAAACAGGCAGATGTAGAGCATGAGTCAGGATTTTGTTTCTGATCAGTCACTGTGTTGAGCACACCGTCAGAGAGAGAACATGTCATATTGTTTTTCAGAAAAGCTCTGATAGCCGTTTCCACCGTAACCTGAGTTAGAATTGTGAGTTCTGCAGCTTCAGGTGTTCTGTTTGAGATGATAACTAACACATGATTAGTTACTCAGAGCTCGGATCTTTGGTCTGAGATGCTTCTTCCCCCAGAAAGTTAAATATGTGATGTTCTCCTCTTATCTTTCTGAGCGCTCCTTTTCTGTAGCCGTCTCCAAGTTTAGGTCCTCCACCACCTCTCTTACCCATGGTGTCCCACAAGGTTCTTTGCTGGGGCCTCTGCTCTTCCTCCTCTATCTGCTTCCTCTTCAGCACATCCTGAGCTCCTTCAAAGGAATCTCCTACCATCTTTATGCAGATGACATCCAACTGTACATCTCCTTTAAGCCCCATGAGATGTCTAAGCTGCAGCTGTTACACACCTGCTTAGACTCTATCAAAACCTGGATGGCTGGGAGCTTTCTACAGCTGAATGAAGATACGACTGAGATCCTCATCTGTGCCCCAGACAAGCTGGTTCCCAAAGTCAGAGACTCTCTTGGTCAGCTTGCTTCCCACACCAAACCTTGTGTCAGGAATCTTGGTGTGACCTTTGACCCAGCTCTCACCCTGGATTCTCATGTCAGTTCTCTTGTTCGCTCTTCCTTCTTCCATCTCAGGAACATTGCTAAGCTGAGTCCCATTCTGTCCCGCTCTGAACTTGAGACAGTTCTCCACACCTTCATCTCCTCACGCTTAGACTACTGTAACTCTCTTTTCACGTGTCTGAGCAGAACCTCCCTGAACCGTCTACAGGTGGTTCAGAATGCCTGTGCTCGGCTTCTGACCAAGTCCTCCAAACACACCCACATCACCCCGCTTCTCCTCCAGCTTCACTGGCTGCCAGTCAACCTCAGGGTTCATTTACAGATCCTGGTTCTGGTCTATTGGGCCTTACATGGACAAGCACCATCTTACATCGGTGATCTTCTTAGTCCCTACACCCCCAGCAGGTCCCTGAGGTCCAGTGATCAAAGCCTACTGGCTGTGCAGCACCAGGCTAAAGACCAAAGGTGACAGATCATTTGCTGCTGTGGCCCCCAGACTCTGGAACTCTCTCCCCCTGAGCCTGAGATCAGTGGACTCAGTGGTCTCCTTTAAAAAGCAGCTGAAGACTCACTTGTTCAAGCTGATTTTTGTGTGACCTTCTTCACCACTCTCTCTTTATTCTGCTCTCCCCACCTATTCCACCTTCCTCAGGATCCACTGATTTCCCTCTTTCCTATTCACTCTCTCTCTTTTTTAACATTTTTTCTTTTAAATCACAATTGCCTATTTTTGCTCATTTTAAATATATTTTTAACCATTTTCTAAATGCTTTTTTATATTTTAACTTTTTTTTTGTTTTTGTGAAGCGCCTCGTGATGTTTTATCTTGAGAGGTGCTATAGAAATGATATTTTCTTCTTCTTCTTCTTCTGTATCTCGATCAAGATCTGTAACAACAGTGGCGCTCAGATTGTTCAGCAACCATCAAGGATGGCGATAACTCTTACCAAGAGAAGCGTAGGATCCAGGAGGAAGAGCTGATGCTGAGCTGAAGAGAGACGAAGGCGCAGCAGAAGAAACGGCTGGCATCCTGGTTCGAGTGTTGGCGGTCGCCGCGGCATTAACGTCAACATCGCTACGAGATCGCTGCAACGATGCTAGCGAGGAGGCAGCTGGTGTCCGGGGGACGGCTTTAGTTAAAGAAACAACAGGTGCCTTTATAAACAACAGCTGGACGTATACATAACAATTACATTTATAAACAATAGCTGGATTTTTAAACAGCTCCTGGATTTTCTAAACAGCTGGAATTAGCAACACCTGGATTTATAAACAATAGCTGTATTTATGAATATCTAGATTTTTAAGCTGCTAGATTAATAAAAAACATCTGTATTGATAACAACACCTGGATTTATAAGCAACAGCTGGATTTATAAACAACAGCTGCAAAAATAAAAAACGACTAGATATGTAAGCAACAGCTGGATTTATAAACAACAGCTGGAACAATAAAAAAACAACTAGATATATATAAGCAATAGCTGGATTTATAAACAACAGCTGGAACAATAAAAACAACTAGATATATAAGCAACAGCTGGATTTATAAACAACAGCTGGAACAATAAAAAAACAACTAGATATATAAGCAACAGCTGGATTTATAAACAACAGCTTGAACAATAAAAAACAACTAGATATATAAGCAACAGCTGGATTTATAAACAACAGCTGGAACAATAAAAAAAACAACTAGATATATATAAGCAATAGCTGGATTTATAAACAACAGCTGGAACAATAAAAACAACTAGATATATAAGCAACAGCTGGATTTATAAACAACAGCTGGAACAATAAAAAAAACAACTAGATATATAAGCAACAGCTGGATTTATAAACAACAGCTGGAACAATAAAAACAACTAGATATATAAGCAACAGCTGGATTTATAAACAACAGCTGGAACAATAAAAACAACTAGATATATAAGCAATAGCTGGATTTATAAACAACAGCTGGAACAATAAAAAACAACTAGATATATAAACAACAGCTGGAAAAATAAAAAACATCTAGATATATAAGCAACAACTGGATTTATAAACAACAGCTGGATTTATAAACAACAGCTGGAACAATAAAAAACATCTAGATATACAAGCAACAACTGGATTTATAAACAACAGCTGGATTTAAAAACAACAGCTGGAACAATAAAAAAACAACTAGACATATAAGCAACAACGGGATTTATAAACAACAGCTGGAAAAATAAAAAAACATCTAGATATATAAGCAACAACTGGATTTATAAACAACAGCTGGATTTATAAACAACAGCTGGAACAATAAAAAACAACTAGATATATAAACAACAACGGGATTTATAAACAACAGCTGGATTTATAAACAACAGCTGGAACAATAAAAAACAACTAGATATATAAGCAACAGCTGGATTTGTAAACAACAGCTGGAACAATAAAAAACTAGATATACAGGTGCTGGCCAGTAAATTAGAATATCATCAAAAGGTTGAAAATATTTCAGTAATTCCATTCAAAACGTGAAACTTGTACATTATATTCATGCAATGCACACAGACCAATGTATTTCCGATGTTTATTACGTTTAATTTTGATATTTTTAGGTGACAACCAATGAAAACTTCAAATCTGGTATCTCAGAAAATTAGAATATTCTAAAGGCCAATGAAAAAATATTTGTTTCTCTAATGTTGGCCAACTTGAAAAGAATGAACATGAAAAGAATGTGCATGTATAGCACTCAATACTTAGTCGGGGCTCCTTTTGCCTCAATAACTGCAGTAATGCGGCGTGGCATGGACTCGATCAGTCTGTGGCACTGCTCAGGTGTTATGAGAGCCCAGGTTGCTCTGATAGTCGTCTTCAGCTCCTCTGCATTGTTGGGTCTAGCGTATTGCATCCTCCGCTTCACAATACCCCATAGATTTTCTATGGGGTTAAGGTCAGGCGAGTTTGCTGGCCAATCAAGGACAGGGATACCATGGTCCTTGAACCAGGTGCTGGTGGTTTTGGCACTGTGTGCAGGTGCCAAGTCCTGTTGAAAGGTGAAGTCTGCATCCCCATAAAGTTGGTCAGCAGCAGGAAGCATGAAGTGCTCTAAAACTTCCTGGTAGACGGCTGCATTGACCCTGGACCTCAGGAAACAGAGTGGGCCAACACCGGCAGATGACATGGCACCCCACACCATCACTGACGGTGGAAACTTTACACTGGACCTCATGCAACGTGGATTCTGTGCTTCTCCGCTCTTCCTCCAGACTCTGGGTCCTTGATTTCCAAAGGAAATGCAGAACTTGCTTTCATCAGAAAACATGACTTTGGACCACTCAGCATCAGTCCAGTCCTTTTTGTCCTTGGCCCAGGCGAGACGCTTCTTGCGCTGTTTCTTGTTCAAGAGTGGCTTGACACACGGAATGCGACACCTGAATCCCATGTCTTTCATGAGTCTCCTCGTGGTGGTTCTTGAAGCGCTGACTCCAGCTGCAGTCCACTCTTTGTGGATCTCCCCCACATTTTTGAATGGGTTTGTCGTCACAATTCTCTGCAGGGTGCGGTTATCCCTAGAGCTTGTACACTTTTTTCTACCACATTTTTTCCGTCCCTTCGCCTGTCTGTTAATGTGCTTGGACACAGAGCTCTGCGAACAGCCAGCTTCTTTAGCAATCACCTTTTGTGTCTTGCCCTCCTTGTGCAAGGTGTCAATGATTGCCTTTGCAGGTGTTTTGAGTAAATCAGCTGATTAGAGTGGCAGTGTTGGGTTAAAGTTGAGTAAATGGAGGTCTAACTGGTCCACCACCACTGAGAACTACATCTCCCAGAATGCACCAACAAAATGGCGACTGATTGGTGATAAAAAACACCTATGCAGGGTGGTGGCGCTCAGTCCTTAGTCAAACAGGAACAGCACAGCAAGCTCTAACAATGAGTTGACTCTAAAGATGCCAATGGTTGGTAACTATTGTTTTATTTATGATATGAAGTTGTTTTGGGTGACCTTTGAAGTCATGCTTTAATTTAATTGTTTACACTGTTAGTGTGGGAAGATTTAGTTTAGAAGTTCTTTGTTTATTGTATTTTATATAAATGATGTGACATCTAACACTTATCTCTGTTCTTTGAAGGTTATCAACCTAATGTTCACTGAACTGACATAATAAAAATTGTTGGAATGTGAAGGAGTTGTCCCAAAGTGTCCCTTTAGAGTGAAACTAGTGTGGAGCTTGACAGTTGATAACCACTGAGCACCCTGGAAAAGGAGATAAAGGGCTTCAAACCAGAAAAGCTGTGGACGCAAGAGAAAATAAAGATGGCAGAAGAGGTCTTGGGGAAGACGGTCAAACTGCTGAAGCAGGAGAGGACCAGCGCTAAAAGCAGCTTCACCAGACTAGCCAACTATATTTCAAGAGGAGCAGACATCATGCTGAAAACCGAATTAGAAGAGGAATTTGGAAAACTTTCAGACCGGTTCAGGTCAGTTCTTGACTCTAATGATGACTACAGGATTGGACTGGAGGCTGATGTCAAGGCAGTGGATGAAGAAGCAGAACTTGATAAGCAGCAACAGACCGACATTCAAATGACTTTAAAAGATGCAGAGAATAAAATGAAGGAGGTTACTGCCGCTGTACAAGCTAACCTGTGGGGAAGATATGGAGAAAGGGAACTTAAAACATCAATCCATGAAGCAGAGGAAGTAGTTGATGAAGCTGAAAATATGCAAGTCAAAAGTGACAATTTGGAGGGCTATGAGGTTCACCTCACTTTATTAGGTGAGAAGGTTAGTGCAGTCATCTCAACTATGTCTGTGTGGGAGAGGTGGATTCCTGACTCATCTAGAGATAAAATGAATGGGAGACTGAAAGGACTGAGAGCAGCCCACTGCAGGCTAAAAATGAGAAAAGCTGAATTTGCCATATTAAGGAGGCTAGCTGATCAAGGCACGAACGGTAAACCTATCCAACCATTACCACCTGTTGTGAAGATAAAACCAACTGCCCTTCCTGTCTTCCAGGGAAATATGAGAGAGTTCTACAGGTGGAAAAAAGACTGGGAGAGCCTGCAAAGGCAGGGAGAGCCCACTGGCTCACCTGAGGTGCTCAAGATTCAGCTCCTGGGGAGTGTAAGTGAGACCATCGTGAAGGAGCTGAGACTGTCAACTTATACAACTGCAGATGATATGTTCAGAGTCCTGGAAAATAGATACGGCAACAAGTCTACCATTACAGTTGAAATCCTTGAAGAATTAGACAAAATGCCGCAGGTGAAGGGGAACCAGCCGAGGAGAGTCATTGACCTGATTCAATCTGTAGAGAAAGCCCTGGCAGATTTGACAGAGCTGGGGAACATTGGAGCCATAAAAAATCCGTTAGTCATTAAGTCCATTGAAAGCAAGTTACCTGACTTCATAAAAAGAGACTGGCTAACATTTCTAGTTAACCCTAAAAACAATGTCACAGCAGATACTCACTTTGACACGCTCTTGAAGTTCCTGAAGAACCAAGAAGAGATATTGGAAAGACTTGAACAACTGAGAAGTGTGGATAAGGTGGACAAGTCTGAGAAAAGGCATGAAAGAAGGTCTACATCAGCCAGAGCTACAACAAAAGAAGTTGACAAGGGTTGTGGTGTCTGTGGTGATTATGGGCACAGCAACAAAATATTCTTCTGCAAGAAATTTAAAGCTTTGAAGCTATCTGAAAAGAAGTCTGTTTTGAAGAAGCTGGGAGCATGCAATAAATGCTTAGGATACCATGATGATGACAGATACTGCAAAGACAATTTCCTATGCAAAAACACGTACTGTAAAAGGGGAGAAACTGGGCCAGACCACCATTATTTCCTGTGTCCAAAAGCTGAAACCAAAGGACAAGGGGGCACAGTTGGAAAATATGGAGGAAAAGGAAAGTTCACAGAAGAACAGGAAGATTTCTTATCACTACTTTCCCCTGAACTAGCAGATCAGTGCAGAAAGGCATTCACAAACAAATCTTCAGTTACACTCAAAGCTGCAGGCCAGTCTGAATTACTGAAGAGGAATGAGCTGGTTGAACTTCCGGTGATTATGATGCTGATGCAAGTAACGGCCAATGCAGGTCAGAAGATAGGCACCCTCATTGACCTAGCATCAGACACCAAT